GTGAATCTCGATGTGCAGATTTCGTGGCAGGCGCAGCACTTTGTGAAGCTCGATGTGCAGATTTCGTGGCAGGCGCAGCACTTTGTGAATCTCGATGCGCAGATTTCGTGGCAGGCGCAGCACTGTGTGAATCTAGATGTGCAGATTTCGTGGCAGGCGCAGCACTTGCTGAGTCTGGAAGTGGAGATTTCGTGGCAGGTGCAGCACTTTGTGAATCTCGATGCGCAGATTTCGTAGCAGGCACAGCACTTTGTGAATCTCAATGTGCAGTTTTCGTGGCAGGCGCAGTACTTTGTGAACCTCCATGTGCAGATTTCGTAGCAGGCGCGGTACATTGTGAACTTTGAAATGCTCCTATGTATTCGCCTATGTGCTCTCAGATTTGTGCTTGTATGTGCTCGCACATTTGTGCTCTCAGATGTGTGCTCTCATGTGCTCTCATATGTGCTCCCATATGCTCTCATATGTGTGCTCTCATTTGTGCTCGTGAATCTGCACTCTCACATTTGCGCTCTTGTATGTATCCTCTCATATTTGTGCTCTCATCTGTGTGCTCCTTCTTTCCTTCCACGTGATGCCATGTTCCATCTGTTCCTCTTTACACTATTTGGGGCCCCTTGCCGGTGTAATTTAGGCTCCACGAAAAAAAGTAGACCGATGAGTCCATCAGATGAGAACAACATTATATACTCTCCATAGGCTTTTCAGACTCAAGACTTTCAGGTTTCCTTACGCAGGCCGAACTCACATTTCACGGTCTTTGTTTTGGTTCTCGTATGTGCAATCTCGTTGCATGGGCCTGGAACTGAAATCCGGTGGTTGACATCCAGGAAGCCAACACCATCTCCAGCACAGTAAAAGCGCCCAAATTCAGTGTACTTCTTTGGGAAGTTTGGGCATCTCTTCAAAATCAGTGTCTGTAGTTAAGCTAGCTTGGATGTCTCTTGTCTCTGACCGCTTCCCCACATCCCATGGGGCAAGCGTACAGTCCTGCTTCACTTTCCATAGGGCCATACCTGACCAGGTGCGAGGGGTCTTGCGGGTTCAAAAATGCCAAGAGGTGGTTGGCAGTTTGTAGTCATCTTCCACCATCCCCTGATACGTTGACAAGCCTAGGGTCAGCTTTGACTATGTCGGCTTTAAACTCTAAATTCAGGATAGAATGAGGAAACAATACGAGACTCCATCCAAACCCTTGACCCTCAACCACAGATGGGTGATCTGGTTGATCTTGCTCCACCGACACGTCAGGGGGTGGCAACTGAGCATTGAGCCGGCCCTGAGTTTGGTCTTCGCCGGCGCTCCTCAATTTACAGATAATAGTTGCTAAACTCAAAATAACATGGAACCATCGAGGAATGTTTTTGAGACCTTGAAGGCCCAAAGCCGGAGTCCCAAACCTCAGAAGGAGCCTGCGCAACGCTTCCGACATGTTCCTACAACATCCTACAACCACAATACTTAGATGTGCCACTGGGGTACTTTTCTGGGCCCTGGCCGAATACACATCCAACAAAACATCCTAGACTGATTGCAGAGGGATTAGATTTCAGACATAAGTGTAGTTCACCCAGAGAACACCTCACCAGCACAAGAGCCCTCAAACATCCTCAAAAAATGTTTTGGAACAACACGTTTTGGAGGCGAAGTGTTTGCGTTGGCAGAGCGCCGATCTTGAACTTTGGCTCTTAAACCAGAATGTTTCCAGGACTCATCTCTATGGTCAATTGCCGGTTATTTACTTTGCATCCCTATATGGCAACTCAAATGCACTGTGGATCAAACATGTACGCAGCGTCCGCTTTGGTTCTTGAGGATGGATCCAGGTTGACCACTTCATGGTCCCAATGACATGTTCACCCACCATCTCGTAAAGATTTGAGGCTTTGAACTTTGGATTGTTTGGAACCCGCTAGATACTGCGAGCCGATTCCAATTCTCACCGGATCGACGCGATTTGCCTCACTCGCGTGGCATGCAGCACATGGGCCACCGTGATCGGGCACCAAGGTAAGATGTTTGTTATATGTGTCTGAACAATCTTATATAATCTTGAAGAATATAGAATATGGTATTCCCGAGTGCGAGCTCAAGGCATTCCATCCAGATTGTGCTCCAGTTCTCGCAAAATCTGTTGGCTAGATGCATACAAAATATTAGATAGAAACAGATATGCGTGAGGAAAAACGCTCGAACCGCCGTTGTTCCCTGCAGCAGACAGGCGCGTTCGACGTGGCCGGCCGAGGAAAAATGCTCGACCCATTGCCACACACGTGGCCGGGTTCCACAGCCAAGAAATTTCAATACTAGAGTGGAGGCCATCGCTACTAGGTTGGAGGCCATCGCTGCTATGTGGGGGAATCGCTAGTAGGTTGGAGGCCACGCATTGCTAATAGGTTGGAGGGCTCGATAGCTAGATCGATTCGACACGCGCGTTCAACGTTCGACGGTCAAAGACGCGAAAACTATTCAGGAAACTTTTTTTTGAGCTGTTTCCCCATGGAGTCGTGTGTGTGCGTGTGTTTTTGGTACTGGTAGCTGGTAGGTGTCCCAAACCTCATGATATTTCCATGACGGTGTTCTCGAATATATGAAGGCTTAAACAAAGAGTGAAAACCATAACTGGCGGAAGTTTCAGAATAAGAAAACTATAGGCTTGAACTCAAGAGAAATCTATAGGAAGTCAACGTTCACGACTTGAACTTAAGAGAAATCTATAGGAAGTCAACGTTCACGACTTGAACTTGCAGATGTTTCAAAAAAACTATAGGAAGTCAACGTTCACAACTTCAACCTGCAGATGTTTCAAAAGAAACTATAGGAAGTCAACGTTCACAGGTTGGACATTGCCAAAAAGTTTGGCAAATGCATTTTCAAGGGTTTTCACGCACAAATTGTTTTTTCACGCACATATGGTCTCAAGGAACCATGTACCAGTTCAACTGGTACAAATGCATGTCTAGGTTTTGGCACCTCCAGAGAGGGTGGGGCGGCTTTCGCGATGCCCTGTGTGATCCACCTGGTCCAAAACGTGCCTGTAGTTGGGGTTGACTTTTGTGGGTGACTTCTTTGTTTTTCTAACAGTGCTCAGGCCTCTCTATGTAACACTGATTGCAGTGTCGCACCAGCTGCGTTCAGAGGTCTAGATGGGCCCCCTTTGGGGAATTGGTCAAAGTTAGACTTGACCAAGTTTTGAGATTGCACTTGGCACAGGTGGTGGTTGGTCATCATCCAGGAAAGGATAATTTTCATGGGCCTCCCACCACCCATCACAGGAGGAAGGAATAGAGAAGACAGACATAGACAGACTAGACAGACAGACCAGACAGACAGACAGACAGACGGACGGACGGACGGACGGACGGACGGACGGCAGTCCGTCCGTCCGACCGACCGACCGACAGACAGACAGACAGACCAGACCAGACAGACAGACAGAGCAGAACGGAACAGAACAGAACAGAACAGAACAGACAGAACAGACAGACCAGACAGACCAGACACTTCAGACACACCAGACAGACCAGACAGACCAGACAGACCAGACAGACCAGACAGACCA